CGCAGTCGGTGCGGGTCGATGGCGTGCCTTGTCATGTTAAAGACTTGTGGCCAGTTGTAGGGTTAAAACCGTCATCAGATGATGAAAGTGACTCTGAAGATGGCGCGTGAGTGGTGTATTTAAAGTTAGATCCACTGAGTTTTACCTCAAACATCAGTATCTGCGGACGTCAACGTGGCCAGCTGTCCAGAGGCAGATGGTAGCTCAACAGATGAGAGTTCATCCGAGGATGAGGACACTGTCATCCCGCTCAGAAGGAGTGCCCAGTAGAAGAGGCCTGCCCCGAGTTGCACAGTGTGCGATCATGACAGCAAGACATGGGATGAATCTAGAAATCTGCCACCTCGGAACAAACGAGTTCGCGCATGTGTAGTTATACCAATATGTCAAGCGTGCAAGAAAAATAGAAAAATATTAAACTTAAATTAACTTTGTAATAAATTCTTAATTTGTTTAAAGATAAAATATGCAAAATTCAAATAAAATAAATAGACATCATAATTACTTCAGTATCTTAAATAATAAACTTAAGTTAATCCAAAGGTAAAATGTAAAAACTTCTTTAAAAAAAAATTAATCCAATTCCAGCAACAATGTGTTAATCGTCCACCCAAAGTCAACTCAAAGTCAGTCTTAACTCGATTTCAAAGCCTGAGTTAAGGATCACCTTGACTGGTGCCATGCATGATATTCATATGAAAGTCTCAACTTGATGAAGCTATTTAAGAACATGACTCAAGTTTATATTTTGTCTTTGTAGCAATTTGCAGTGTTGGATGAAACTACCTTCAGCACATCCTATTCTAGGTTCAGTTTCCTTTTTCCATATACTAAATTTGTTATAACTGATTCATATGTCAAGATATTTGAAGTGTGTAGTATTCACTAATTCTACATCCTGAATTTTTTTTATGTTTTCATTCCTATTCTGTATCATAGAATCTGTTTTCGATAGGTTTATCACTATTCCTACTTTTTGGAACACTTAGAAGATCCTGAATTTTTTTGTTCAAGATTATTCTTGTCCTAACTATGAATTCCTATGTCATCATATTGACTTCAAGAGGGGAAACATGAATGTTATATTCTATTAATATATTCATTTAAGGGATCAGTTCCCATCTTTTCACATCTATACTTGCATATGTACAGAGATCAAATAGATTGGGGCTCTTATTTCCTCCTTGTCATGTTGTGGTTTGGAACGTTTCAGTATTGGGATTCTTGTCCGTTATAGTTCTTGTGCACTGATATAGTTCTTCTATCAGATCTGAACATTCAGTGAAACCAGAACTTTCTAATGGATGCAAAGAGTAAGTCTCTGCTATGAGGTCTACATAGCAAATGAAAAAGCTAACTTAATTAGACTAAAGGGACATAATGCGGCCATAATAGCAACAAGTGGACAGAATTTATTGGCTCATTCTGATCAAATAAGACTCAGAATTGATGACAGTCATTGAGATGGAAGAGGAGAAGGAACCTGAAAGGAAGGAAAACATGAATGCTTCTGATGGAAAAATTGAACATAGTAGTAAAGAAAGTATGGAGTATAGTTCACACAAATCAAACGTGGATTTGGAAGATCAGAGCAAAGATGTCCAAATCTAGATCCCTAATGAAAAGAATCAGGTACACACCTCAAGAGAGAGATAAGATATACTTTTTTCAGAGAAGTCACAGATCAATAAAGGGCATAAAAATTCTTCATTTCCAGGTGGTGTAATGTAATGGCAAATGTCAACATAGGAGCAATGGACTAAATAAGTCAGTCATCACTTTGTAGTAGAACTTCTACATAATAAACATCTCAACAACTTTATTATTCTTTAGCTTTTTATAGCTTACTTTACTTTCTTATCATTAGGTTAGTTATTGTTTTGTTAGAGGACAGACATTGTAATGCTCAGATGTAAACAAAAACAAATCAGATATGGGCAAAAAATATCAAAACAAAGACAGTTCAAAGTGAGCCATATCAAAACACTATGAAATCTACACATTGCTATGGTCTGCTCTTCACTGGCTTGTGAATTACAACCCCCCCACCACCAACAACAACAACAAAGAATGAGACCTCTAATTTGGAAAATTGCAAATTACTTAGCAGCTACCTGAACACTGAGAGAGACATTGAAAACAGAAAAAAAGACTTGTGCTTCTAACTATTCAGAAAATATGTAAAAATACATAATTAATTGTGTAAATGTCATGTATTCATTATTATTAATGCAATAACTATTTAATCTCATATTTACATAACTCTAATTTATTTCATTGGTTAAGATTCTATTGACTGATATTGACTTTCATATAGTTTGTTTTGTTTAAATATGACGATTTTTTTTTTTGAGAAAAATTTAGTTGACATATGTAATTTATGAATTGAATGTAAAACTAGATCTGATCTGCCTGTTTATACACATAGCTGTGAATGGATATACTAATTCTTTATGATTTATATTTAGAAGGGTTTCTTAAATTCAAAATAGTTTATTCTGATTGGATTTTTTTTTTTAATTCTTTTGATGTTTTTATTAATTTTATATCTGTCTTTTTTCCAACTAGATTCTGCCTTTCTTTTGCATTATATTTGTATAAACAGATACAAAATCAGTGTCCAATTTTACATTTAATACATGTTAAATTGAACATTGGCTCTTATAAAACTGAACATAAAGACAGTGCCAGTTTTATTTATATTGTAAACTAAACTCTCATTAAAAGAAAACTTTCTGAAAGAAATAAATGCCATTTCAGCAAAACAAATTGATGTACATAAGCAAAATCTTTAAAAATGTCAAACTGTGTATTTTTGTTTTTCTTGAAAATGGAAGAGAGTAATAATTTTGGTATGTTATGCTTTTTATTTTAAATAAAGTAAAAATGTGACTCAAGGATAAAAATAAACTATGCTGTTTATAGTGAAGAATTGAATGTATCCAAAGTGGTTTGCAAAGATTTATGGAGATTTTTGTCTATGGTTGGGTAAATTGAGATTGATACAAGGTGATGCCCAGGTATTGCCTTTGGTTTATTATACCCAGAGCATTTCTTGTGAATAATCAACATTTTATCATGCAGGAGGCAGTTAATATACTCAAAACATTTAAATCAAGCCTTGAAAATCATTTACACCAGTTTGGTCATATTAGTCCTTTTGATATGTTATATCATTGGTTGATTTTCAAAACAAATTGTAATGGGTAATAAGAAGTGGCTGCTTTACAATAATGTGGAACAAAGTGAGGCAAGTGAAATGAACTACCATTTCATTTTTTTTTTTTTTTTAAATATCATTTCATCCCAAGCAATAAAACCACTAAAATGCAAGGGATTACTGAGCATGAAAGAATATGAAAAAAAGAAAAACAAACATTAAGGAGAGAGAACAATAAATGAACAGGAATTAAGAAGACAAAAGGTAACTGTTTGGCATTACAGTACCATTAACTGTACCAAAAGCCAGTTTTTACCACAAATCATGCTGTGTATATAGAGAGACTAGAAACCATGAGTTGGAAAACCATATGATTCATTTGGAGAAATACTATTCTGAATTAGACTAAGTGATTGAAATTATTTATTATTTAATAACACAACTTTTTGGGCTCTCCAATATTACTTACAAATGTGTAATTTTTGAGGATGAATACATGACAGCTGAATTTTGATCTAAAATGTTCACTGTAGAGTGTTTGATTCTTGGGTAGCTGCAGTGGATTAAGGGCATTGACAAGGAAAGAGATTATTTTTAAAAATATTGTATCAAATAAAATTTTTTTTACATGATTAAGCTACATATTGATGTACTGATATAATTGATATTGACCAATAAGTTCTTTCAAAAGGTATACTATTTATAACATTAATGCAAAAGGTAGTTAAAATTCAGCTCAAATTCAATAAAGACTGTTAGAAGCTCAAGGGGAATTTCATGATAGATGTATCCTGTATTTTAAAATCTGTGTGAACAAAGAGAACGTAAGTTTTCAGACAAGTTTTTAAACTTTTAGTAACTATATGTAACTTTTTTTTTCTTTTTTTTTTTTTTTTTTTTCAATTTTTTACATATTGTGTTTACAAGCATCAAAAGTATATTTTTCTCTACTGTTCTAACACTTTTTGTATAAAACTTTTAAACTTCTATATTGATATGATTTGAGTCAATAAAAGTGATGTTATTTTGCATCTTTAAGATTGTTGCTTCAATCAATTGCTAATTGTTTTGTTTGACAAATAAGCTTAGATGACATTTTCTATATAATGATTTACATTTTGTAAATTTCAGTTGTGTATATTATTATGTATCAAGTTACATTTGCACTTGAAAACTTTTTGTTTTGATGACTTCATTAATTGTTAAATTCCACTGTACATCATTTTTTCAAGAGGTCTTAAGGTTTCATCTACAAACAAACAAATTAAGAATAAGTCTACTTCAATGCTTGTAATATTTTTCTGAAATTTTTTTAATTCAGTGAAATTTTAACTCTTAAATTTTAAAAAGGTTTTAGATAATGTTAAAGATTTATTTTATAAATAAAATGGCTGTATAGAAATACAGTATTTCATCATTTATATCCATAAAACAATTATTTACAGCAATTAAAGATTTCAATGACAAATTTTTTAGCTTGAATATTGTAGACCTTGTGCAAAATATTCTATTTTAAAGTTAAATAATAATTTAATATGAGCATGTCATTCAATTTAGCTCTTTTGAGATATGTATGAATTCATATGTGAAATGTTTGATGTTCCACTGTAAGATTTAAAAATAATTAATTTGAAAAAGTGAGTATTTTATTTGATTTTTTTTTTTTTTTTTTTTTATTCACATTTACCACATGTAAATTCTTTTTATTTTTTTTCATTTTTCAATAAATTTTTATCTGTTTTTGTTATTAAAAATAGAACCCAAGTTTATAAAGTTCTGTATTTGATGACTTTTTAAAAAGTTGAATAATGAGAGATCTGTCTTTTGATCCTTACTGAAGCAAATATCGAATATTCAATTGGATGGGCTCTGACCAGAGTAGCTTACCTGCTGGAGTGCCAGGAAGTAATCTTCGATCCCAAAGAGATGAAGATATCCCATATACAACTTATTCAATCAGTAAACCTATTGATGGAGGTCAGTACTAAACTGTTTTTTCTCATTGAATACTTTGCATTGGCAACTTTCTGAAAAGTGGCTTCTACTATATTAATCATTTTAATCATTGATAAATATTATCTAATGCTTGTACACTGTAAGATTGCTTTAATGATTTTTATTTCCTTTGCACAATTTGATTTAAATTTCATTAATGAATATATTGGATTAATAGCATATTAGATTGTTTGGAATAACTATTTTAACTTACTCTTGCTATTTTATTTTTAGTACACTTCTTTTTAAATATTATTTTTATATTGTATTTTATCTGCAGAGGACATTTGACTTGAAATTGATTTTGAAATAAAATGTGAACAATATAAATATCTTTACTTGCTTGCAGAATCTTTGTATTTTTGTAAAATAAAAATTAAACTAATCAGAGTGAAAGACTAGGAATGATCAGCACATATCTCTATCTCTCTCTCATATATATAAATAAAAAGACACTTTTTTTTTTCTTAGCTTTTGCTGTATCTGTGACTTGAAGTTGTATAAGAAATATGTATATATTAAGAGCTTATTCTATGTTTAGAGGGAGCAGGTCTCAGATGTTGAAAGTAGAGGTTGCTTTCTTCCAGCACAAACTACTCCAGTAGCACAGATATGTGTAACAATATGTGTGTGTTGTAGTGGGGGGGAGGACAGTGGATAAAGTTTACAAATCATCCCACACCATTGTTCTTAATGAGGAATTCATTTCTATGTCTGCATGTAAATATTAGCTTCTGACTTTTATTTAACATTTTTACATCATTTGTGCCCTGCAAGATTACCAGTTTTTCTGAGATGTACAAACTACATCTACTGCTCTTACTGCCAAGCACATGCTCAGTAATTAGAATTTCTCACTGAATAGTAACATTTGGCTTACTGCGCTCTTTGATTTTAAGTAGACAACATTGTCATATTTTTATACATTTTATTACCCATACTCAATTTATGAGTAATATCCCTTTTTCTAGTCTTTGTCTGCAGTTCAAATATAAAACTTTTTGTTATCACTACAGATTATGGCCTTATACACATTTTTGGTTAAACATTTACTCTATGGTGGACAATCTACATTAGTTTGACAATTTCATATATTAGCATTAATGGCCGTATTGTCATTATTTTCAAGCATTTTAGTATTGTGAGAGCTAAATATTTTAGCCATGTTACCAAAGCAGCTGTAACTGACTTGTATGTTGTTTTGTTGAACCATTTATTTAGAAGTTTGTCACCAGCAAAATGTTTAATTATGAATTTCATAAATATTTGAGCAACATGGATTTTTTTTTTTTTGGTACTGTTAAAAAGGGATTGAACAATATCACTTTCCTGATATGTTTTTTTTTTTCTTTCTGTAAATCCTAATTGCCTTGGTTTATTTTACCTTTTCATCGGTGGACTTGATAACCACACTTGTACCAATCTGTGTATGTGCTGTAATGTAGATAGAGGTTGGATAGTCAATATATTACACTAATCAGTGTTTATGCTCCTAAACTTGTTTTAGATGAAGCTATAAAGTTCTCATTCTATGAGAAATTGTGAGATATACTTCAATCTATTCCTAGGAATGATAAAATCATCAAGTTGGGGTTGGAAGTGACTGGAAAACAGAGTTATCTGGAGAGATACAGAACAAGTAAAATATAGAGCAACAGTCAGCTACTTCTTGATCTGTGCACAGTTTCATCTTCACATTGAGAGTACACAATTCCAGCTGTTGTCCAAAAAATATGTTGGCCGATACAATCAACATCAAAGTACATATTCATTGCAACAGGCATCACTGAGCATTGATAACAGAAGAATACCCAAACAAATGCTCTTACAAGTTGCTCTGCATCACTTGACTCCAGCATAAACCAAAGTGCTTCAGGGACTGTTTAAGAGAGTCTCTGGGAAACCTGCCATGTAAATGATCCTGAGTGGTGAAACTGCTGCTTGTGATGGGTATGTGGAGATGTACAATTGATAAAAGCACTAAGATCTTCCAAGAACATGCAATAAGTTAAACAAATGGCAAGCTTGCAGTTAGGAAAGAGGAAATAATCGATACATAAATCCATCAATTTATATGTGATGAATATGGCCACAAGCAAGCTGAACAGACTTATAAAACTGAACAGGCTGTAAACAAAGTAACTGTTTGCCACATCAGCAATAAGCATTGCAAGTCACTTGCAGTTTTTAAGAGCAATTGTTAATTGCTAAAGAACGAAGGACATTAATGTATTTTTAATCCAACATTATTATAACTTTAATATATACTACAAGTATCCACTATGATAAAATTTAAAATAATAGAAATCGGATACATATATATAAAGTGCAATAAGTAAATTGTCACCATTTTATATTTTTAATTTTGTGCATAGACATTGTTTGTTTTTGATTTTGTTGACTGCACAGTATAGTAGGGTCAATTGGGCATTGTCTGTGAGAAAAAGAGCGCCATGATGCAATTCACTCTGCCAGAAATTTGGAAACATCATGTACTGCTTGGAATTCACACTAGTAGCTCCAATACGAACATTTCAGAGTGTTTGGCTGTCAATACAGAGGATTCAGAAAGAGTTGGATGAGTCTAATGGTGATTACAAATGTACAGCAGCTTGAAAAACTCACTCTTATCATAGTGCTGGCCTGGTTCACAAGGGTGGCCACTGGAAGACCCTATGTCTGGCAACAGTACTCTGCCCCATACCATACAAGCAGGAGACAATTTCTGCAACCACATCACACTTTATATCTGCCACCTAACACCCCAGACTGCAGTCTGGAGGCCATGCTTGAAAGCAAATGGCAATTTATTGAGTAAGTTTACTCGTTAGTATTTGAAGATATTTTTGTGTAATTTTGGTAAATATATCTGTAAAATGAGATGTCAGTGTTATTTTAATTTAGATGATAATTGATCCATTGCACCCTGTGTGTGTGTGTGTGTGTATATAAGATGGACTCTCCTATCATGAACAATAAAAGAGGGTCAGCAGTGGATGGTGCCTTTTTTTTTCCACTTATGCATACAAGCAGGGGCTATTGTGAAGAAAATCAGGTAAGGGAAAGACATTTGATTTATGCTTTCTTTAGTGTGATACTAGCCCAAACTTGCTACGGATGACAAAGCCAAATTGGCAGATGAAATTTGTGACAGCAGGATTTTGATGGTGTCTCTTCTTCAGAACTTGACAAAACTGATCACGGTGCTTCAATCTACTGTCTTCAAAACCCTTTAACTTAATGAAACATGTCTTATAATTATGTGTATATATATATATATATATAACAAAGTATATAATTGGTATACACGGAATGAATTCAATAACCAAATGGTTGGATATATATATATATATATATATATATATATATATATATGTGTGTGTATATGTATGTATGTATGTGTATAGTATGTACAGGTATGTATATGATTAAATCACGGCAGTATATAATTAAAAAAAGCATGGTTCACTAGATTGGGTGCGACTGAGTAATGAGTTCGTTCCTCACTGGATGCCCCTTGATTTCAGCTTTGTGCCACGATATATTTGTATATATATATATGTATATGTGTGTATGTATGTGTGTATATATATATGCGTGTGTGCATATATATATATGTGTATATATATATCTGTATGTCCTATTTTATTGTGTATGTGTATTTATATTTAAGTATATTTCTGTTTGTATGAATGTGTTTATATATTTGTATGTTAGACTATATGTATATTGCTGTGTGTTGGTGTTTGAAGGTATATTTATGTATCTATATGTTAGTTCGTTTATATATGTATTTGGTTGAAAGTTGTTGTATTTTTATGTATGCATGTATATATGGGTGGTTGTTATTGCAGATAGATATATTTATGTATATATATATGTTTATTTGTAGATATGTATGTATGTGTGTATATATATTTTTGTATGTTTGTGTATATATATATATAGGTGTGTGTGTGTTGGAACCTATTATGTATGAGTTGTTTGTGTGTGTGTGGGTATGGAAACTTTGGTATATCATGACTGTTTTTTATATATCTAAGTATGTGTGCATAAAAGTCTATGTGTATATATATGTGTGTGTATTTAGGTTTATATGTATATGTGTACATATGTACTTGTTATCATAGATATGTATATGTACGTATATGTTTATGTTTATATATTTATTTGTATGTATTTCTGTACGTATATGTATGTATGAATATATTATTTTTTTTTTTTTTTATGTGTGTTAATTTGTTTTTGCTGCCGTATATATATATATATATATATATATATATTTGTGGATTTCTTTATCCTGTTTTCTTTGCCAAATATATAATGAAACTATTATCAACTTATATGATTAATAATATATATATATTTTATTGATATTTATTGTTTTAGATTTTCGTTTTAATATATTAAATAATATTATTTTTAAACATTTTTTATCTTTATATATTTGCTCCCTTAAGTTATAATTCAATAAGTGGTTAGCATTTATTTAAGTCTGAAATATTTACTGGTTGTGATTTCTCAATGTCTATGCCATTGTGGATGTATGTTTGTGTATATATCGGTGTCTATGTGTATGTAGAGTGTATTCACATTTAACTGTGTGTGTGTGTATAAGTGTTAGTTTCCACGTCTCCTTTTTTTCATAAAGGGCTGTGGAGTTGTTCATGTATTCCCCCCCACCTCCTTTTTTTTTTTTTTTTTTTTTGTTTGTGTGTGTGTGTGTGTGTGTGTGTGTGTGTGTGTGTATGTATCTAATTATGTCTGGATGCTTATGTATTATTATAATCTGATTGTGTTTTTGTTGTTTCACGCGTGAGTTTAAGACCATATTCACAAACTTTAAAATAAAAAAGGAAAAGGAAAAAAAATATATATATATACATTATCATCAAATGACCGGATATATTGTAGCGTTTTGTCTTGTCGAACGTAATTTCAATGAAGAAATGAATTGAATAAAATATATATATTTTTTCTTT